TGAACTGTTTGGACCTGAAGCATTAAATTCTCAGCAAACTAAAGGTATTGCCTTTGTGAAAGTAGCATCCAATCCTGAGTTGCTTGGCTGTGGCGGTAAGGTGCCGGGACCTTATTTTGAACCGTTCATCTTTGATGGTTTGGTCTCACTAAGTAATAGAAAAACTGACCTGAAACCAGTGCATATTGAGAGACGCTGGAGGTGCTCAGATTAATTCTTTCTAGTGTTTTGCCTTTCTCAGCAGACTGCATGTGGTTTTAATGTTGTACTGCGTGGAATAGAGATGGCTCTGAGACCAGTTCAATGGGTTTATATAAAATCAGAACTTGTTGCAGAAGTTTTTCCCATCGCAGTATGCCCAACCTTGCTAACCTTGTGTGTCGTTGGGAAATGACGTTGTGGGTTGGTTAGTGCGTCCTAGTCTGGAGGTTCTAGATCAGTGGTTCTTAACCTTGTTGGAGGTACCGAACCCCACCAGTTTCCTATGCGCATTCACTGAACTTTTCTTTAGTGAAAAATAAAATATGATTTTTTTTTCCAAATTCAAGACATAGATTTTGTTTTACTGGTGCACAAAATGAGCCGTGCATGTCACGGCGGAGGCTCTGCCGAACCCCTGAGACGACTCATCAAACCCCTAGGGTTTGATCGAACTCAGGTTAAGAACCACTGTTCTAGATAATTCCCTCAGTCACAAGGCCCCAGACATTTCGTTGACGCTGAAGCTGTACCCAGCTTGTGTGGTTACTCGTGCACAAGCCCGTAAAGATGTTGATATTTAAACTCTTTTTGTCTAAGTGCTTGTGAAATATTTGCAAAGTGTCAGTGCAGTGTGTTATCTCAGTGAAGATAACTGGACTCACCAGATTCTGAAAAGGCCATGATGTCACTCTGCTGAAAACACCATAGACTGGTTGACCTGTAGAGGGGAAAGTGTTTGATGCTATAAACACAACACTGACAAATACACACTCCAAAAGCAAGGCGACTGTAGAAAATGAATCCTTCTAACCAAAAAGAATCTTTAACCTTAACTATGATGCCATTTTTAATTATTAGTTTTTAAATTAAGTGATAGGTATGGAAGAAGCAGAAGCATGTAATTTATGCATAATCATCATTAATATTAACATAATATTAAAAGTTCAGAGTTAAGAGGTTCTCAGTCATCCAGGTCATCGTAGTCTAAGGAGCTTGGAAAGAAAAGCGTCTGGACTTCTTTAAGTTGCTTGAAGACGTTCATATGGCTGATAACTGTGATTTGGTGTTTAAAAAAATCACCTACGCATTGCCCCTTAGTATTACTTTGTACTATTATTTCATCGAAAATTTTGATATAATAATTAATTTGACAGTTTTGGGTGTGATCAGTGATTTACTTTCTAAATACATTATCGACAAGCTTCATTTACATATAATTTGGAAGAATTTACTTTCATTCTAGTTCACTCACCTGCTGATGTCTCCAATGTCTCCTTACACCAAGATTAACTTGACAGTTCAAATGGTATGAATTAAAGTAGAGCTGTGCCTGGATTAATAAAATAAGATAAAAGTGTTTCACATGGCGATATTTCTCCAATGTAAAGTTTTAATACAAACTGTGAGTGCTACAAAGATCAAAGTGTTTACAGCTGTTTTCTATGTTTGAAACCATTTCCATTGCATATTTACCAATTGCTGAACATATTTTACAAAACGTATTCAAAATTCAAACTATTTAAGAAAAAATATATACAAATGTCACGGCGGCAGACGTGTGGAGTTATGATCGAGGACCCAAAATGGAAGCACGGCCTATGATGCAAGTGAGCTTTATTTAAGGTGCGCAGGATACAGCAGGAGCGGAGAATGGCATACACAGAAACTAAGGGGAACCTAAACAGAGGAAACACAGGGAGACTCCAGGAGACATCGCAGACGGACCAGCGATGAGAACGAGATGACTGCACTACAAATACACAAGCAGAAACACGAAGGAATGAGGAACAGGTGGCAACACAGCTGGAACTGATTGGGCAAGACGAGACAAGGAAGTAAAACAGAATACATGAGACACAGACCTTCACAATAAAACAGGAAACTCAACACACACAGACTCAGAGACACAAGCTTTACACAGAGACCTGACTACACTGGAACACACAGGCAGGGATGAGTAGACACAGAACAGAGGGAGCACAGAATAACATGAGGAGCAAAGGGATCAAAACTAGGACCTAGAAATACAGACAGCAATAACATGAGGGAAATAAATAATAAACAATGCAACTCACTGGGCCACAGACCCAGGACCAGGACAATAAATACAAACAAAATAACTGAAAACTCACAAGTATATAATTTATGATTACACAGAAGGTTACCTGTTGTAACCAGTAGTGACTGAATGTCATGAAGCATCTGGTTCTGGAGGTGGAATGACATGTTCTCTATAAAAGTATGTAATCATATAAGAATTTCACAAAAATGCTAGAAGTAATCTGAAGTGTCAGCTGAGATCAAACAAAACAAAAATCCACTTATTCCCTCACATTGAAAATTGTATTTACGTCAGTAGTTTCCCTTGTTTTCTTTCGGTGAAGGCATTTAGGTATCTAGGTATTACTTACCTGCTGAAGTCAGTTGTGTCCTCACACCAAGATGGCTAAAGTGAAAGTAAATAAAACTCCAGTTCTGCCTGTGAAATATGTGGCCTGGGTGTGGTTTGGAAAAAAATGTGTCAGGTAACACTAGCTTGTTTTTCAGTTGAGAAACATGGACTCAGACATCAAGATGTTAAATCCCACCATATCTGTGCTCTGATAATGTTTTTCCCCCTAATGGTTAAAGTCCTCTTTGTAAAAAACATGAAGAAGTCATCAAAAAATGTTTTGCAACAATCAATATACTGAAACAAAGAAATTAGTGAGTTTTGGGGAGTAAAAGCTACTGAGATGTGGTGTTTGGAGTCAATGGGCTTTGATCAGTAGTGGTTCCATTGTTAATTCAATGGTGCTGGTTTGGTTGGTTATTATGCAAATGTACAGTTTATAAGGTCGAGGAAAGCTGCAGTCAGCTGAGACTGAAGAAGTCACCGAGTGACGAAACGTTTCTCCCACTGAAAACATCCAGATGAACACAATCAACTTTTTGGGATTTACTTACCTGGATGACTGAGCCTGAGCATCAAGACGTTTTACCCAAGGATGTTTGGCAAGAAGACTGAAGCAGCCTGGAATCAAAACGCCAACATTTCGGTTGAGTAGGTGACTTGCTCTACCACCTGAGCTACAGCCACCCCAGACATATTACAGGGTTTAAAGTCTACAAGAATTAAATATCTTGGAAAGAAGAAAGCAAGAAATAAAAACACCTGGAAGAAACTGTTCTTCTTTCATTTACTCATTGTAACTCACTAGGCCAGAGTTACAGCAAGCACAATTTGTTTGTTGCCACAAATGTATCGCCCATATGAGATCACTAAATGTTTCTCAATCCTAAAAGCTCACACGGCGTCTGTTATGCATGTTTAGTTCTGTAAAGAGAGACCTGCCTGACCTGTTTTGTATCAAAACTGTACCAACCTGTACCTGGTTGGTACAGTTTTCAGTGCTTTTGCATTTTCACTTCAGCCAAACACCAGGTCAGACAAACTTTGTTTCAAAGAATTGTTCCCCAACCAACAAAAAGATGGATTAGTCAAAGCATTCACAGTAGTGATGCGCGAATCATGAATGAATTGTTCAATACTCGAGAATCACTTTACTGACTCATGAATCATGATTCACAAGCCCAAATGACTCACTGACTCATCCCTGTTGCTGTTAGCAGCAATGTATCTAGCTTATAATTAAAATTGTGGAGAAAAACACAACATCCAGTATCTTAACAAAAAATTTCTGCTCTGAACTGGAAGAAAAAACCCTGAGTAGAAGCTCACGTCAAGAAAATAGCTCCTCGGTTCACAGTAACATCGCTCTGCTAACATACTAACAGTACATTTGCGCTACTCACCCCCTCCCTCCTGGCTCACAGCTTCTTCTTCTTCTTGGTTGGCAACCGATGTTAAGGTGCATTACCGCCCCCTGGCTCACAGCTCAGTGGACATTTAGATGAAAAAATATATATTTAACACATTTAAGGAAAATACTAATAAAATAAAAAATACAAATATATTAAAATAAAATAAATGTTTATTAAGCAATTTTGATAGGAAATTGCTTAATTTTAGAAATGTTTTTGCTCTT